ACTGTTAAGTAATTAAGTCATATCTAGAGTTGTAGATCTTGGATTTCAATTTGGTTTATATATCTAGAAAACTAAGATATAGGCTTAAAACATTCATGAATAGTCCAAGACTCAATTCTACAATTTGGAAGTCCAAATCTTAACATAAAAAAGAAGTCTGAATATGTTCTGTAACTCAGATATCGTTCAGTGTTTAACCCATATCTCGAGTTCTAGAAGTTCAAATGACCTCACTCTTATTTGTTGGAAAACAGAGATAATTTTCCAAAACTTTCATGAAGACAATTTGTTCAAATTCTAATGTTAGCAATGATGTTTTATGTAAATAAGAAGATAAGGATTGTTACCAAGTCAAAAGGTGGTCACCCACTCAATAATTAGTTATCAAATCAATAGTTTCAAATTTTAGCCTATAAAAGGAGGCATTTGCCATGCCTTAAAACATTTTAGTTTTCATATCAAGATCATATTCTTGCTCTCTCTTTTTATATTTTTATAATAATTAAGTTCTGCTTATATTAATCACTTGTTTGTGCTTTTCATTTTATTTTCTTTACTTAGCTAACGTATATCTTATTTATGTTCTTATATTGTTTATTTATGTTTCTCTTTTTTATTATGTTTAGTTAAGTTTATTATGTCAACGTGAAGAGATTATACTAAAGGTGTAAGAATAAGTATAGTATAAACTCAACATAGATTTTAATGTTTGATAGTAACATATTTTGTATTTGTTAAATGGTTAATCTAGATTTGAGTTGCATAACCCTTAGTATAACAAATACTTGAAATTTTCATAGCCCAATCGTATGGTATAACTGACACTTGTGCTATGAAAGAAACTTGATTTGTTGTTAACATAAGTTAGCATCATAAATATCTAACAACATTTACACATATTATTATTATTCGAATAAAATAACTAATGTAATCATGCTAGCAATTTATAATCTGATTGGAACCTTCTTTGTGTGTGGTTTCCAATTGAATAATACTTTTTATACTATACTTGTTTGAAATACCATTAATGGATCCTCTAACCTTGCTAATTATTTTATTCTTATTTAATCCTTACATCAATATCACATCTCAATAATTCTCTTCAACTTTTTTTCATTGATTGTTTATAATTTTATATACTTCACCTCCTTATGGTTCGACCCCAGTCTTACTGGGTTATTTATTACTTCGATATTCCTACACTTTAGAGAAGACATCAATCTTTTGGTCGTGTCAAATAGTAAGCCTACCTAGCTAGCTTAAGATCATAATATTTAGATTCAAAGAAAAAACTAAGTCACATGACACTTTTATTAACACTTAAAAAAATATTATTTCATGCCTATTCCTATGATTAAAAAAGAAGAAGTTATCTACAACATGACAAGGTCAATTTGTGCTCTTAATGATTCTCATATCATGGTTAACCAAGTGGAGTATCTCAAAACACTCTTAATAAAATATCATTTATATAAGTGAGAAAAGTGGTAATTTCTTTGAGAATTAAAAAAAAAAGACTAAATTCTTTAAACCACCTATCAAACTAGCAATTGTTTAGAGCCAAAATGAACACAATCAAGTAAACTAAAGAAAAATCTAGGAAAAGAACTATGTGAGAGTCTTGATTTATGTCAAAATTGAACAATTCAATATACCATGTTTATTATTTAGTTGAGTAAATGTAATAATACTTCAAGAGAAAATGTTTATAGCTAAAAGTTACGTATTTTGATATAGTGATTGTCCAAATCATTTTCTCTCTTAAATTCCTTATCTCTTTGTATGTCAATTGACACGACTAAAAGATTGATGTCTTCTTCCAAGTGTAGGAGTGTCGAAGTAATAAATAATTCGGCAAGACCGGGATCGAATCACAAGGTGGTTAATTACATAAATTATAAACAATTATAAACAACAACAACAGTAACAACAATAATATTAGTAGCAATAATAATAATAATAATAATAATAATAGTAGTAGTAGTA